GACTAGATAATTGCAATGCGAACTGTATGCACTGAGGTCGGCAAACAGTGTTCACAGTGTGAAGGCACTTTGGACGTCGTGGCACTTGGACTTCGTGCAACAGTCAAATATTGATTGGACGTCGTGGCACTTGGACGTCGTGCAACTGGCAGAGGCTTTGGACGTGGTGCAAATGATACGTCTTTACAATTATATAGTGCGCTGTTTCACGACGTCCAAGTGCCACGACGTCCAAAGCTTGTAGAAAGACTATATTTTTGGCAGTTACTGTACTTTTGGACGTCGTGGCACTTGGACGTCGTGCAACAACTAAAAAATTATGTTTTGGACGTCGTGGCACTGGAAAAATATTATTGGACGTCGTGGCACTTGGACGTCGTGCAACACTCCCCATTATTGTATAATTAAATGTTACCATAGATTAAAAGAGTACTCCTTTAGTCTATGTTACAGAGAAAATTACAAAATATTAAATTTAAAATTTCCATGCTATTCTTATAAAAAAAAGAAAACTGTTGTAGTTTGCTAATATATTAATAAATTTTGACATATAATTAATTGTTAAATAATTTAAACAATTTGTTGCAAATATTATTAAGTACGAGATTATTTTGATCCAGCGATTATTGTCTGTGACAAGAGTCTCGGCTTAAAATCGGAAATCAATCTACTTTAATCACTTTTATCTAACATCAAAGGAAACAGAATCCGTCAGGGAGATTACCAAGTTTCCAGGCAGTGCTTTAGAAGTCTAGATTACTGGCTAAGGTTTCTTTTTGATCGTATACTCTCGATAGTCGGACACTCGGAAATCCGGCACTACGATGGACGAGTCATTGGTTGATATCAGTGTTGACAGGTCTTGCACAACAAAAATGTTCCAATCGCGGTAACTGGTCTGTATCCACGGTCTTTATAAACAGTATTGTTAAGTGTGTTGAAAAAAATTCACAAGTTTGCTTTGTTTGATTAAATTTAAGTGACTTACTTTTTATCATTTAAGAAATACATGTAGAATTGTTCCTGACTGTTTCTGTGGCCAAACCCCTTTTATTAAGTTTTTTTGTATATGATCAAGGATAACAGGGCCCAGTTACCATTTAAAGGATAGCACAAACGAGGACAACATTTTCCTTACAACATGTTTCGATATGATTGTATGTCCGATTGAGTCGTTACTGCCTATTCTTAAGATTTGAAGTGGTGAACCTCTAACCACTAAAAATATAATATCAAATTTTATTTGGTTTCAGGTACGAATTTAAAGACCACGATAAGAGTTGTGGAACATTAACAGTAAGTATTGTAGAACAAGTGATAAAGTAACATTTAAACCGTTGTATGATATAACGATTTTTCTTAAGATCTAAGAAAAGAGTTCTTTTTAAAAACATAATTTCTAATTAAGATTGAAGATTAAAGTTTATTATAAAAGTTGCCAAATAAATAAAAAAAAATTATTTTCGTGTATTATTTAATTTATGTTATTGTAGTAAGTATCAGTATGTTTATATTCAATGTTAGCAAAGTATAAGAACAATCTATAAGTATAACGGAATCTATAAGCTTATCATCTATACTTTCAACAAATACTATGTGCTATACTGTGTGGGCAGAACAAGTCGATTGTAAAACAAAAAAAATGTTGAAATACAAATAAAACTTTCCGTCATTAAAACAAAGTGTGGATGGTAGTATTGGGATTCTCCACTTAAAAATTAACCATGAAATAATCCATCGTTAAATAAAGAATTTAATAAAAATACACCTCTCGAGAGATAATTTTGTGTGATGAAAATATAATTAAGTGAAATCATTGATGAAAAATCTTAGTTAACGACCAGAAACCCGGCCCCTCCACCCTGTAGGTAACCCCAGCTAACTGGAGTGTTTACCCACGGTTACATTGGGTGACGTAGCTCAGGAATAAAACTCAGCACTCGCTTACAAAACCCAACTTTATTATTACCCAAACAATACAAAGAACACAAAGATAAGTAACAATCGAAAAGGCAGTAGACTGGGACAGTGATAATATAGTATAAAACAGAAACCTCAATTTGGATAAAAGACTCTAACCCCCAATTATAAAAACCCCCAAGATTGCCTTACCTGGACCCAAGGCCTTGGGCTCCAGCTCCCCCAGCAGGACCTCGTCCTCCAGTACACTAAACTATCCCTACACACACAACAGACCCCCTGATCAAGTACACTGGCCTACCTAAAGCAACAGCCTTCTGTTGGTCAGAGCAAGATATTTTTTATCCACACTTCCAGCCTACTCACACAAAATTGCCAAACACTTCCTATTCACAATATTTGACCCCTCCCATGCATATTTCAATGGTTACTGGTGGTGTCTAACATTTATATGATTTACATATATAGCAATATATCTATTGTATGACAATATTGATAATCTTTCTACTCAAAGTTGAGTTAGGTCCGTGCGCAAAACAATTTAAGAATCAACTCGAAAGATTTTCCCTTAGCAAAAATTAATATTTATTTTCTTTCAAGTTCGCCTTTTTTCTTCTTATATGCCTTCAGTGTGTCCCTTGTTCATACTGCTATGCCTTCAACTTTTCACGTTACCCTTTATATGCCTTCGCATTGTCCTATTTTCATTATCTTTTACTTTCCTTTTATGTTTCTAAGTTATCACTTTTACTGTACAGTAGTATGTTAAATCTCCTCACACCTGAGCTAGGCTACGGAGAAAAGTAATCACAGGTTATTTTCATGAGCTAAAATAACTTTATAAATCCACCAGCAGTTAATCATAACCTCGCATAACACTATTATTTTATCTAACAATGAAGATCCTTGTATCTAATTATATCATTGGACGTCTTCTCCTCTTCACACGTAGGCAAAGTGGCAGAAGTATTTTAAACTGTGAAATATAATGAGTTTGCAAGCGTGTTAGTTAATCTAGCGCAACATATTATCTTCACAACAATACATATTTCAATTTGTTAGTTTGTTTCTCATACGGATACCTTGAAGTGATTCGACCGTATCTTAAAAATTACCTGCTATAGTTGGAATCTAAATTGATTTATTTCTTTATGTACTTTTTATTTTGCAAGCATTCAAGGTTTTCCTGTGATTATAACATAGTACTAATAGGTATGAGGAAATGATAAATGTAATTTGGTTCCAGAATCAGAAACTCTTAGGGTTGAACCAGCAATCTTTAGAGTTAAAGGTTATAACTACTAGATAAATTGTCTTGATCACTGTAACTGGTGTACACTAACTAGTAAAATCTACAATTGTATATTACTTTTTAGAAGCCCTAATCAGTTAACAATAATCATATTAAACATATGCTAAAATATGAGAATAAACCAACTGAAGCGCATACAATATGTTTTAAACTTAAAAACCAACTGACATCTTTGCTAATATTTTTGTTAATAATACCCACAAATATCAGATAAGAGCAAAAAAGCAGTTAACCAAATCAAAATATATCATCAGATAAGGCAAAGACTAAATAATAGTCTGGGGCTGTACAGTCTTTCTGAAAAGCTAGAAATTAGGCTGTTGTGATTTCCATCCAATTCCAAATTAAAAGTAAACAAAATTTATTTAGCTTTACTCTTTATGTAACCAGAAATATGGGCTACTTTTGAAAGACACTAAACTTAAATAAAACCCACAGACTTTAAACAACCTTAGTACTTAACAACCAATTTAAAATGCACAAACATTTAAATACATCAACATATAATGTTGCAATACTAGAGACGTTTTCCCGCCAAATTTCAGCAGCTGTGGCCAGTGCCATAATACAGTATCGCTCCCATATTAGCGCCTGATCGTCGCTAACGTCGCCCGCATTGCAGGACTGTGTGGCATATTGCGTACACTTGCTAGAGGGCGCTGCAATATTTTGGGGATCTATCAACATGCAAGATAGATTGGGAAACAATAAGTGTTTGTAATACTGAAGGTTTTTGTGATACTAGCGATTTATTTTAACCATTTAGATTATCCGTGATGTAGTATTGTACTGGATATACAGTTTTAAGATTGAGTTAAATTATTATTGTATGATTTTTTTCTAGTGCTATTCATGCGTTTTTTTACAAACCTTGCACTATTTTATTTACAAGATTGTTGTTTTTGAAATGATCAGACCGTGGGACATTTTTCTTAGGGTTCAAATACCGCCAATCAATTATCTCAATACGTGTCTCTATTATTATATAATAATACTCTGTGGTATCACTGTGGAAATCGATAGTACCAAAAAAACGTGCAGTATTGCAAAAACTTATTGTTTCCCACTCTATCTTGTTTGAACTTATTGTGGGTTAATCGTACCGTAGGTAAAACCTGCATTGTCTAAAAGTCAAGGGTTAAACCAAGTATCAAGAAATATCTAATACAATGATAATTTTAATATATTTTTATTACGGTCATAAAACAAGCTTAACTAAAATTCATAAATTTATTTTTGATTTTGATACATTTTATACATACATATGCATGATACCAAATAAACGCTATGATCATAATATTTCTATCAATTTGCCTCAATATTTATTTGGCCTTCTTAGTATGAATAAAGAAAACAGGTTCATATTATAGAAAAATAATAAGACAATATTTCTACAGGATAAAAACTAAAGAAGATATTTTCAAAAACACGGGTCAACAGTTCCATAACTATACTGTATAGCCATGGAAAACTTTCTTTAACTAGTTATTAGCCACAAAACCTGCAAAATCCAATCAATAAAACTGTTATCAATAACCCAGTGATCCCAAGGACCATCATGGCCACTCAAAGTACAGCTGACATCTTTGTCGTTTTATTACCATATTGGCGTCAGGAGCACTTATTTTCTTGTAATGATTTTGAGGTTATGTTTACAAGCTGCAGACAACAATGGAAGCGTTATTCTAATCAGCTGATGTCTAAAAACAGATGTCCCATTGGCAAAATATCAGCTGACAAACAGTTCAGTGCTAACTTTACACCTAGTACGACCATGTTGTCTTTTGCGCGTAATTTGTTTCAGTGCGCTTAATTTTTGTGAATTATTTCCTTCTGTGTCGGTGAAACGGTGTATTTGTTCTGTGGAATGTGAATAACTTTGATAGGATTTTTCGGCGTTAGTTTGAAATGTGAATTTTAGATAGTATTTTACACTTAGAAAGCTACATTAAGTTTGTATGTATTTGCATTATTGACCTATAATACTACTTTAAAAATAAAAATAAAATATTTCCTTCACAAGCACATGCATATTGTTAAAAATAACTCAATTCAATAAGTAAATACTTACATTACACTCCTCGGTCAATAGGCTTTTAGAATAAATTCACCTAAAGTGGTCCAATAGTTTTTGCTTTAAAGAAAGACAGGATACCAAAATACATTTACAGTATACGACCTCATTTTGGTGAAGATAAATTAAAATAAACGGTATCAGCATTCTGACACATACTTTCTCCCATAAGTTTGTCAACAACCTTTATCATGTGTAAGCGGTGAGAGTAAATATACGGAAATGGGATTTGTACAATTTTCTTCAGAATTTAAAGGAATATAACATACTAAATTGTTATCAAAATCGTTTGGGCCAATTTTGGGGAAATCTGATTTTCCGTTATTTTATGGGGTTTTATGGGAAAATAACATAATTTACAATAACTTTTGAATCGTAATTTTTACAGAAATGGGATTTGTGCCATTTTGTTCAGAATATAAAGGACTATAACATACTAAATTTTTATCAAAATCGTTCGGGCCACTTTTGGACAAATCCTATTTTTCCGTCATTTTATGGGGTTTTATGGGAAAATCCCCATTAAAAATAAAAATTTCTAAAAAGTGAAAAAAAACTATCAAAATTGTAAGGACCATAACATACTATGTTAAATCAAAACCGGATCTTTGTCTAAAACCCTATTTTTCGTTATTTTATGGGGTTTTTATGAGAAAATAACATAATTTACCATAACTTTTGAACCGTAATTTTTACAGAAATGGGATTTGTACCATTTTGTTCAGAATTTAAAGGGCTACAACATACTAAATTTTTATCAAAATCGTTCGGGCCATTTTTGAGAAAATCCGATTTTTCCGGTTTTTTATGGGTTTTTATGGGAAAATCCCCATTACAAATCAAAATTTCAAAAAAATGAAAAAAATGCCTGGAGATACCATGGATAAGAACCTACATACCAAATTTCATCGAAATCGGACCACAGGTGTAGTCTCTAGCTCTGTACACATCCAGACACACACACACACACACACACACACACACACACACACACACACACACACACACACACACACACACACACACAGACATCACTTCGAAAACCACATTTTTGGGTCCAGGGGGACCCAAAACGAATATATCCACTCAAAACTCAAACTCGAAAATTTTGACGAAAACAATACTTTCTCCATATACTATGGTATAGAGGGAGAAAGTAAATATTACGAAAACTCACAACAAACGCATATGTCAACAAAAATTCCTCCTAAGGAGAAACGAAAAACATAATTTCTAATCTTAATATAAATTTTTGTCTCATGTTTAATTTGTTATACTTAAACTTTCAATAAAGTTAAACTCGATCTCGCTTGAACGCTGTAACTGTTTGCGAAAATTAAAACAAATGTTTACTAGGTAGATTAAGTTACGGCACAATTTTACAGTAATTGTAGAGTGAACTTTTCAAATTCATTAACGATGTTCATAAACAAATTCAGGTAATCTTTTAAGAATACGGAGGACAAGATACTGACTCTGTTTCGTGTCAATAATTAAAAGGCGTAAAATATGAATATATTCAATATACTAAATTATCAGTTGATTAACGCCAAATTGAATCAATCATTTCAGAGGTACAAATTCCCCCTAATTATCTAAAATCGGGCTGGTTCATGAACTCCTTAATTCGTACGTTTACTTTTTTGTACAAACCTGAATCGAAATTTTATTGTTTTAGCAAGAGCTAGCTATTAGCTAACCGACTGATAAATTCAAACTTTGTATTTATGTTCTATGGAATTTTCAATTAAAAGTTACAGTCCGGAACGACTACGGTTATAGCATGCTTAGCTTACTATGTTACTTCAAATTCCCAAAAACTTCAATAAAATTAAAAATTAAACTTCAACAGCTGTCTTCGTGGTCTTTTGCTTATCTGTGCGTATAACTACAGTCAATGAAGCACAAGCACTGCTGTGGTATAAGTAATATGGTCAGACCAGAGGTCTTCGCAGTTATATGATAGTATAGGCAACCGACCGATTTCAAAATCATTATCGTGACTAGTAAGTTAGATGACAAACCTCAATAGATTCTAAATTTCAACCAACAAAGCCTTTACTCGTCAGTAGTGCCAAATTGGATACACAGGGCTGCCAATCTTATTTATAGAGAAGGTTACTTTCGAATATTCCGAATATCGCCGATTAAACGCTAGAAAAAACAAATTGAATAGTAAAATTAATTAATGGTGACGCAAAGTCGAATAACATAAGATATACCCCCGCCACAGCAAACCTGCAGACTAAGGGAATTTCCACTTGCCTGATTTGATTTTCACTTAAATGGATATATTAAAAAAAAAACACGAAAACAAACGATAAGACTATGACTTCACATTGATACCAGATAACTTGGTAAACAGGTCATCCCTAAGGAATTATGTGATAGATTAAAACTCAATTACAAGTCCTAACACGACATGGGCATATGTACGGATTTAATTAAAACATGTCAGCTTGTTTTCTGAATTGAAACATAACCACTTAAAATTAACTTATGTAAATTTTTAAACTTTGTAACGCAAAAAAAAAACTGTAAAACACCACATCAGTAGTTACATTTAATCCGATTATAATAACTCGACATAATGTTACTTTTATTTAAATTAGATTTTTGAAGACGTCTTTTTAGTTTGACTAACACATACGAAGGGTTCGTATTCATGCGGAAAATTACTCAGGATATTTATATCTTTACTAGCTTCAATGCATTAAAAATAAATATTTTATAGTATTTTCGTCTTGTAAATTTGATTCACCCTAAAGGTGCTTCTTCGGGCAATATTACATAAAAAAGTTTGAGACTCATCAAATTTCTTATACTTCCATAGCTTGCATAGTGTTTGGGACTTGAGACATGTAGATGGGATGAGAGTATGTTATGGAATTGCGGGATGAAGAAGGCGTCAGTTCGTCCCATGTCCCAGCAAAGATGATCCGGATGCCTGACTTTATGTCATTATTGACCCAAGTTTACAATCTGTACGTATGAGTTCAGCATGGTAAAAAATTGTATGCAGTTTATAACTGTTTGGAAATTCAAATAACTAAACTAAGAAGTTAACTAAATTAATGTGGTTAAACATTAGAAGAATGCATGGTAGAAGTTCAGGATCAGTTTTGTTTTTGTTTTAAATTATTTGATTATTGAAATATAATTAAAAATTTTAACGTGAGTGAAAAATCGAGTTCCGCATCGTAGATTTCTATGACCAGTTTTAATTTTAAATTATGCCAATATCAAACCAAATTTACCCATATTAAACGTTTGATTTTTGCATGAAGAGTGTTAACCTATGTGTTAATTAAATATTATTCGTTACATCTAAAAAGCTATATGTTTTTATCTGTTTGGCAGACGTTATATTGAAAATAATGGTGTCATGTGTCTTTAAATAACAATTTTGTAGTATGTAATTTGGATTTATTGACGTGATTGTTAAGTATTTTGAATGAACGCGTCAGTTTTTCAAGTATAAAATTCGACTTAATGTAAAAATATACATTCAATTATCTTCGGAGGGGTTTTCCTTTTGTTTAGGATTTTAATTTTAAAATTTGTCTAAGCCTTTTGGTCAAAATTGTACGTGACGTTTTGACTTTTTTGTAGATATCCTACATCGTAAGTTCCAAACTAAAATTCCGCGGTACGCTTTGTTGAAAGCTTTTTCCCAAAGAAGATGTTAAACTTATGTCCAACACTCATTTAACACAGGTATATTCTGGTCGGGTAAATGGGTTCTAATCCCAAGAATTAGCAATTATAATGTGATAAAACAGTGATCCAGTGGTGGAAAGCCCATCCACCCAACAACTAGGTAAGATAGGTTTTTATAGGAAGAAAACGATATCTGTTTTGGTTTACTCTCTCCAATCATGACGTAATATATTTTTAATTAGGCATCCTAAACCCCCCATTACAAGCACACATAACATATATCATATTACAGAATGTTTATAACAGGTAGAAATCAGGCCCAACTTTGTAAATGGACTGACTGTTCTATAGCCCAGATTAGGGGCGTCAAATTTCCAAAAAATGTCTTTACAGTATTATTTCGAAATTTCCGTTAATAGAATCATTTTCTCTACGTATAAAAAATCATATTGTTTTCTAGAAATAGAATTTTAAAGTATATGAACATATTTTTTACAGAGTAGGAAAATAGCCTAAGACGACATTTTTTCCACGGAAACACTAAGCCACGTAACTACAGTTAGGCCTACGTTTTGGACTTTGGATGTTGGCCAAGTAAATTATAAATCAGACTTTTTTTCACCAAAACAAAAATGGTTTAGAAATATGTTTATGAACAATTTACATAGAATGCGCTAAATCAATTATTCCCCGGGTGAAATGTGTCCCGAGACCAATGAAATGCGCGTTTTACATGGGAAATGCAAAGAGGAAGAGGACTCTGAAGATGAAGCGCTTCTCAAGAAAAAATCTTCACCGTGGTAAGTAAATCTTCGCACAGATCTGTTAAATTACATAGACCTTGACTTATATGTCAATAAAATATAGGAAATTATTTCAACTCACAATGGCAATTTTTTAAACATTCCAAACATTTTAAGAGACCATCTAATCAAAAATTAGAAGAATATTTTTTATAAATTTAATATATAGTATGGATATTTAAATGATCATTGCTTATTTTTGAGAAATGTTCAAATCTTATTGAAACCTCCAGGTAAACATCTAATAAAATATTCCTAAAGCTTGGCCTACCATACAAAACTGTAGCAAACTTTGACCAAGTTTTACAAGTGTATTTAAATGAACACATGTGTTGGTGTTCGGACTATTAACCTACCAAAGCTTGAATCCTAAAATTATTTCAATTCCCCAACTTTAAAAAGAAATCACCATTTTAGCAACGCTAACAAATCGTGAACCTTTTATGCAAGACAGATCCATAGATCTGATATATTCCCATCTTTTCATCTTACAAAGGTTGGTTCTGCAACACAAATTTGTAGCAAAATTTAACCAAGAAGATGTAATGCAAAACGTTAGTTGGTGTGGGGACCATTCACATAGTCAAGCTCGGCCCCCTACCCACTATTCTCTCGTCCAAGTCTGTGCTATTTGCGACTCAATTGTCCCTTCCATCTATAAATTCTCACCTCTTGCTAGTGACGTGTTTGTATTTGTAACTGTCATAACAGCTGGGATGGAGTTACAAATTGTTGTTCTGGACTCAAATATTAATAGCCTATTGTTAAATACATGCAAATCCAGATGTTAATTGTTGAAATGGTTTTCCACACTTTCCAACATTGTTGTAAATTTACTTCATTCTATATTATTGCATTATATCCTGGACATTTTGAGAGTTTACTTACAATTTTATTTTAAGGAAACTTAATTACCGAGGTACTGCTGTTTAATCTAAATATCGTAATAAGATTAATACATTGATGGCAGGCAGGACTTTTGGTAGATTGATTTTAATTATTTTAAAATAAATTGTCAATTCCGTTTTATTTGATTTCATTTGTTGTTTTTGTACAAATCGTATGGTTACTAAAAGTGTCCTGGTAATTGGTCATTAATTTTTTTTATCAAGATCACTTTTTGAAGAAATTGTAATTGCTTTAGAGATATTATTAAAACTAGTTTTTTTTTCTGATACTATAGAATTTGCCCAATTATTGTTGTCACTAAACATGAATGTATTTTTATACAGGCTATACGGGTACAAGGACTAATATAACATGCATACAAACTGAAATAAAATAATTTCAGGAATCCGACATCTTTCCAAAATACGTTATAAGCAAAACTAGATAGAAACAATTTTTCGAGTTGATTAACAAAGGTTAACATTTAGAAACATTTAGTTACCGTAACTTAAATAAGTTTGAAAAACTATAAGCGGATCTTTTGTGAGAAAACTATCCTCCTATTTTGGAGGATATTTTAAAAATGTACTGTAAGTTATTTTGGTTGACGAATCATAAAATATGTAGAAAAATATCTTTAGAAAAAATAGTTTTAGACAATCGTTTTTCTCCTGACCCAATTCGGTTGTCATTTCGCCTTGGAGCTCGTTCCAAAGAGTCACTTCATACTTGAAACATCAACACAAAATATATAATAATGTTTTGGTTATCAAACAAAAACTACAAAAAATTTTGAAAATATTTATGTGAGTCATTTACATCGGCTTAAATTTAGAGTTTTAAGGAAGCTGAAGTTTGAAACTGATCGTAATGGCTTGTTAGAATGTGATGGATCTGCCAAAACAATCATCGATAAGTGTTTATTTGACATCCGACTCCCCAAGATTCCTGGCATGTTGGCAAAACGCTAAATTACCCTTCCGTCAAATCTCACCTCTTTTAACCTATGTCCGATTTCGTTTACCTTAACAGATTGTGTTTGTCATTCACACCATTTGACAACTTCTTGCTTTTTTCTATTTGAACTTTGCTCTTGTGACAATTTATTTTGGCTTGTGGAATGGTTGTAAAATAAAGTATGGGTATAATTTATGTATTTATTTATTTTTAGGAGTGGGTGTAGAGTAACGAATTGCATTATACCAATGGTATTTCGTTACAGCACGATTCGGTGTTTATATACGGAAATAATGCTTTGGCACAGTTTTTCAAAATCTCAAAGACAAATCTTGTGTTAAAATCTCACAGCACCGAAAGAGTTTTAGCAAATCATATAGCACGAAAATAATTAGGATTCTTGTAGGGTTTATTGTATTCTATGCTGTAGGATTCGGGATTGTAGGACCATGCCTTATAAAATGTTAAGCATTTTGCAATATTAAAACTATATCCTTCTGACAAACTGCCATGTAAATATTCTTGGTTGGATGGAATCGTGACCAAATTGTGCCATGGTAGGTAACCGTTTCTATTATTGAAGTTGAACTTAGTGCATATATATATTATACATGTAAGAAGTAGTATTTTTAAATGGATTCGTCTATTGTGTCACCGCTTACCATCTTGTGTGTCAACAGTATAGGTGTAAATTATGATCATGTGTTATTAGACCGATTTTTATACTTGAACATATTTTTAAACACAAAGAATTAATTGTTTTCTTATTTTATATGAAAAAAGTGTTTAGTGTGTTAAGCCTAAATTTGAACTTGATTCAACTTTTATATCTAGTCAATGACTTTATTTGATCACTTGTATTCATTTAAATGTTTATTAGTGATTTGCATTATTCTAGTTTAGTCCTAATCTCCCTGGAACCATATTAACCATCGTCTCATTAGTTGTATAATTGAATGTGCACATAGATCCAATTTTCTAACGTCTACCGTGCCAACCTGTATTCATCTTCATCAGGGTCTATTCTGGACCTCGTGGTCGACCAATGAGAGAAACCATCTCTCAGCGATTTGCGGAAATTACAATAATTACTCGGTCTTTGGCCAAGTCTACGTGTGAGGAGATCAAAGTGTTAGAACGAACTCTAACTTGTTAAGTAACGTAGTGGAATAGACTGACGGGAGTAGAGCAGTTAGACTTTGAGCGATGAGAGGAAATAAGGTTATGACGTTTCGGCCACATCATCATTCCTTCTTTAGGTTCAAGTAAAATAAAATGGAACTAGCTCATAGTATGCTTAATACGATAAGGGTTTCCTCTGTTACTTTTTCCCCGTCCTACTTAACATATTTTTAAAATTAAAGTGTCATTTTAAAGCTTATAATCTTGCGGAGGGACGAATGTTAACTAAAAAGGTAATTTCCATTAGGGTTTCTCTCCCCTTAGAGTTTAATTTATTTTTAAAGTTCGCTTTCAAAGATCCAGTGATGCTGAACAACTTTCTTAATAAAGCTTTAAATGTGAAATTAAATTTAAATCAAATCAAATAATTTATTTAGTCAGAATTGTATCAAAACAAGTTGCATTAGCTAAAGTCATATTAGTTTCAAAACATGCCTTACATAGGTCTACAAATATATACAGGAATTCACACAATGGCTTACATTATACTATAAATGATATCAGAGACTTATAAATCAATATTTACAATCACATTCTTAGAGCTGATATGAGTTAGGAATTCCTGGACGCTGTAAGAGGTAAAACTTATCAAAAGAGATTTTAATGGTTTTTTTTAATTTGGAAAGGTTTGGTTCTAGCTTAAGGGAAAGTGGAAGGGAATTGAAAAGTTTGAACTGCTGATCTTTCACTTGAATTCCAGTCAGAATGTAAAAAGGTCTACATTGTAAAATATAGTAAACCAAATTTTCTTTAAACATGTTCTCTCCCTTTGCAAACGCAAAGCACGAGTATAACTGCAATAATAATTTTATACTTACACTCCAACCCAACACGAAGGACGGGTACTCTGCTAGTAGTTTTATAAATAGACTACTCTTATTTGGTAACTGTAACCTGATTGAGGTGAGTAATTCACTCGTTATGGCGTAAATATTAAAGAACGAATTTAATGCATTATAAGTTAGTTGTTAATTCACCTATTATAACTGTGACAAAGAAACATAATTTTTAAGTAAATAAAAAGGGTAGTGCATTATTTTATTAGTTTTGCCTCGGAAGCTAATTCCAACACAGTTCACACACGAGTATTTAGTGTTGGTTTAAAAATATCTGTTAATGAAAAGTACACAATATATTAATCCAATCAATATCCTTATAGTGAAAACTTATTTTAAAGAAATTCTACACCATAGTTCATTATACTACTTTCATACTACGGGATATGTCGCTAAATAGTTTAAAAAAATGGTATCAATGATTATTTTTATTAAGTACTCTAACGCTTTAGTAAAAAAAATAAACACTTTAAAAGTGTGTGCTCCCCCAAAATATTAAGACCAGGTAGTTATGTAAGGTCCTGGTAAAACATGAAAACTGAAATAGTAGTTTTCGCTAGTAAATTCAAACTATAATATTTTAAAATATAAAATAACCAGGAAAGTTAAAACGTCTAATATTTGAATAAGTCTAATATACGAAGAAAATACCGGATTACAAAATAAACCACACACGTTTTACTAATGGTTGACGATTCATAAAATATATTAAATTAAATAATGCCCATGGTCTATACGCAATTTCTACATAAGAATCGCGTGCATAAAGTGTGCTCATTATTGAATACATATTGAATATAATGCATCACGTTTCTAAGAAAACCTTTACAATGTTTTGCTATTTAAAGAGGTTTATTTTTTAGCTGAGCAAGAAAACTTGTTGACATTCTGAACACAATATCGTCTAACGAAGACCTTTGTTTTGAGTAAGAATCGTTAAACATGGTTTTAAAAATAGGTCACTTTTTGTTAGAAATCACAATTAAAACGTGCCACTTAATACAACCGTTTCACAAAACTAATAATAAATTGAGATCAAAGACAACATGAAATTGTATCAATGCGATTGTTTCTAAGGCTTGTTAAATAATATGTTTATTAGCTTTGTTATTACTCTTTGAAAATTGTGTTCAGTTTTGTTATACTTGTGTAAATGTAATTAATCTACATAGTTTACCGTATTGTTTTATTTAAATGAGAACTAATATTTCACATGTTTGCTCTAACTTTTTAATTTGACAAAAAAGAGTGTAGTTTTGTTATTTATGTTTTTGTGCTAGACATTAATTTAGTATAAATACAATTTGTTCTATAAATATATTCATAAAAAAAGTTTTAAATTCCGTAAGCTAATATTTGGCTTACAAGGGCGTATTAAAATCAAACTAACCATATTGATGTTTACTATTATAAAATATAAACACTTTGACTGGATAGAAGTATAAATACTATGTTCATGTAACGCTGTTGCCAGTTTTATAATAAAAATATAAGTAGTTGGATTAAGCAACGAGCAGAGTGCACTGGTGACAGTTACCGATTTCTGTAAAATACGCAAATTTTTTGACACCACACAACTGAAAGGAAAACTTATATTTAACTATAACACATTTTATGTCATATCCAGCTAATATTATATAACAAATTAATGGATAAAACTGGATTTTGACAGTGGCGTATTCGAGTAGCTCGATCGACTATTTGAACAACACATTGGCTTACTAATCTATTAAGATGTCATGTCTACTTCAGTTTTAAAGGTGATAATCAAACATAAACTGATAAAATTTCAAATGTGAAACTATTATTTATAACGGTTCCTAAAAAGTAACAGTTGTAACCGTGATTTCAGGTACCGACAGACCAGGTTCAGCTCCAGGAGGGTCCGTAGACGAGTGGTGTTCAAACATGGCGACTGTAACGTGGTTCAGGGGAAGGTGGCGAAACGAAGAAGAAGGTATCTACAGGTACTTCTACTATAGCTTATGATCCCAAAGTAACGGTTGTAACTAGTAACAGTTGTATGTATTAGCAGTTGTAAAACGGCTATAATTACGAGGTAAAGACGATTATATCTACAAGTATTTATACTACAGCTTATGGCCAAAGTAACGGTTGTAACTAGCAATAATATTTTCACGCAATAAAAGTTAAAGTGTGTAAGCTTAAATAGCTAATACGAATGAATAATTTACAAGTACTACTGCTATAGCTTCCAATAATAGTTGCAAGTAAAATACCCTAAAATGTTTAAGCTTGCGATGGGTACGGGTACGAATTTATTTAAAAGTACTTTTACCATAACAGATTTTTTACTAATATCCCTCTTGGAGTAGCAGTTGTAAACGCGTCTTAAGCTCTCAAAGCAAATACGTATTTATTTAAAAGTACACCTACTATAGCGTATGGATCCCAAATTAACGGTTGTAAACTACAGCAGCTGTTTATGGTACCACTTGCTAGCCTAGGTGGTCACTATTTAGGCGGTAACAAGTAAGGAGGAAGGTAACTTTGGGTACTTTAACGTTAATTTATTTCTTTAATTTGTATCATCAATCAAACGTTCAAACTATTATGAAAATATAACCTTCATTTCATAGCTTCTTATCTTATAGTGTTTTGTCAAAATTTGCCCTAATAGAATAGAACGTTTACTTTACAACAACGCACTTATGTGTTAATGAACAAAAAGCACCAAAACAAACTACGGATTTGGAGATATTATGATAAATCTTTGCAGTTTCCAAATTTTTCGTCATTGTTCTTCTTTGTCTCATATTTTGTGTCTCATATTATTAGTCGTCAACTATTACATAATTTGTATTTGCCGAAAAAATACACAGTCCTTCAATTATAATTATTCAAAATCTACGTGATCTTGAAACTGCAAAAGATCTATGATAACTTTGAAAATAATTCCTCTGTATTAACTTTATCAGCCAAGTTTAACATTGAAGTTCGATACAAAATGAGAGCTTAATATAGTCGGATTAATTCCGCAACAATTACGTCAGATACGAGGACTGAGCTGGGTCGTTGCTCTCAAATATATTGTCTTCAACTTGGCAGTGAAATATTTAGTTTTTTGTTTTACATAAAGAACTCTGAATGTAAGTTCATCCCTCCCAAAACTTTGGTTATTACTTAAGTAATTTGAGCGGAACTTGGAAAAAGTTCCGTAGACATCATGGGTGAAAGAAACTGTTTGCAGAAGTTAATCATGGGACAATATGTTATTATTAATTTGCTGAAACACTTTTAAAATAATGAGGAATTAAAAATAGTACTTCTTGCCCTTCTTTTGTTTATGGTCTTGATTTTTCATATGACTTTTTAAAGTTTTATTGAACGTGATTTAATTGATACAAAAGTCACCATTTTTATATTTTTCACTAAATTTGTTATTGAAAACTATTACCTGTCTATAACGAAGACTACATCCAAGCATTATAATTTGTTATTTAAAGCCAGTGAACACTTTATAATTGTTTTCTCTATAAAAATATAATGTTACTGCAATCATTGTAAGTTTTATTTTATTTTATAATAAAATACTCTACGCATGTTAGGTAAAGGAATCTCCTAACACCTACATTTCAAGGTATGTAAAGTATCTTACAATAATATATTGAAAAATACAAAAGTATATCACAAAAATGTTTTGCAGCTAATAGAAATTAACTGAGTTTTATAAAGATTACATTAAAATAATATACAGTCAAAATAAACTTTCAAAGGTCATACTAACCTACAAATACAATTACATATTTATAAATTATTTACTTGTTCTACAATTAACAAAAATATTACGAAATAACATATAGGTCATACAAACTATATACATATACACATATAATAATATAGCTAACAGGTTATAAGAATGAAAATACTGATTTGAGGTTTTGACTAAAATCAAATATGAAAAATCTCAAGGTCTAAGATGAGTTTTTTGTAAGCCAAGATGGATGTAAATTTACTCTCAATTCATTATAAACAGACTCTTAAATAAAATAAAATTTAATAACACTAATCAAGTTCATCTAAAACGTGAAAAAGTCTTCTCTCGAAAAATGTTTGTTACTCAATATAAAATCTCCATTTCCATAGTTCAAATTAGTGTTAAATGCGATTAATCTCTTGAATGTTGCAGATATTAAATGTTTCATAAGTATACAGAGTGAACACACTGTATGGAGATACAATATTGATCTGTATTGCCTGTATTGATCAGGGGCCCTATTTTTGAAATGGTTGACTGTTGAGTTGAGTGTCGAGTCATTCTATTTCAAATAGTTTCGTATTTTTGAAACGATCGACGGTGGACTTATACAACCAAAACTACCCAACACCTATCGAGCTGTTGAGTGGAGGTTGACTGCACTTTCTTCTTCCTCTCTTTCGGCAAAAAATTACTTTTTTTGAGTCGACGCCATATTGTTTTGTTATTGCTTTAATTTACTAATTGCGATTTAGAGGTTATATATTTGTTGTCAATGTCTTAGCACCCAATACTTTATGCGGTTGTTAATTTTATTTACTGTGTCAATACTAGACTTATTTAATCTATTTACTTTGTTATAAGACTATTTAATTTGTTTGAAATACACTAGGCATACTAATTGAACTTATTAAAAGATAATTATTGTCATTAGACCTATGATTTAAGGTATTAAAGATTGTGGTAGAGAGAAACAATATCATAGTTTGTTTCAATACCATTCACCTAATAAAGGGATCAAATTAATTTAAGTTACGATAAGCTTTCAGTGCAATGGCAAATAGCCATAAGCTTTAACCTAAATAAAAACACAATTGAAAATAACATGAAACAAAACGATGAAGAAAACTAAAATAAGGTGATGTGTTCTGAAATAGATACGAAGAAAGCAAATAATAATGTATTTAGGATATGCCTAAACTTATAATGAGCTACACCATAAAACAAACAAACATCCATAGTAAATTTTATTGTTAATACTTATAAGTTTATATAAGGTACTTTTGCAATCACTAAGATTAAGCAAGACATAACCTCAATCTCTCAAGAACGGAGTTGACAGTTTACCTCAGAATCTCGAAATATGGTAGATTGAGATTAGCTGATCCAGATTTTAGAGTAAGAAGAGGTAAAATCGAAGATCACAAAAACTCTGCATTGTGATTGGTTTAAAATGACGTCATCTGAATTTCGGGCGGTCGTATGCTCTACATTTCCAAAACGAGTCACTCAACTAGTGATTTCCAACTCACTTCCAAACTGTTGGATTTCAAAAATACCAAATCCTGTTGTTGGTTGAGTTGAGTGTTGACTGTAGAGTCAACTGTCAACCATTTCAAAAATAGGGCCCCTGGTGTCAATTAAATTTCCAGTTTTTATTTTCTTGAAGCTATACTAAATAATTTTATTTTAATATACAAATTTTAGTTAACTTTTAATAGGTACCTGTGTAGTTTTGGATACTTTCCCCCATTACTATAGAATATTGCACCAATGCCTTTGAAAATTGTACTTTATTGTAACAGCAAAGCGGGATTTTCCTGCTTCAAATTACATCAGGTAAATCCTCTGAGGGGCAGCAGCAAACATAATCAATATTGATGTTAGTGGGCGAATTGTATACACCCGAATTCCGAAAAACTTTCCTTGATGACCTTTTACTTGTTGTTTGCCCATTTTATACACCCACTATTTAACAGAACACTTCTTAAAAATAAAGAGGCAAATATTTAAATTATAATATTAGTATGCGTATGGATAGTATGGACCTTTTTAAGTTATTAATGAAGAAGCACAAACAAGATGATGGTTGCAACAAAAACTTTTAAACTGGAGCAAACAGGCCGAACTAATTTGTAACATCGTCCCCAACAAGTTCATTGACCCTTGTATGTCGTCTTCTGTTGTGGATTTTAACAATGGAGAGTAGGTATACAAAAAAATTTTTTAGGACTTAAAAATTATCATTAACTAGCTGTTGTACCCGTGCTTTGCAAAGGGAAGAGGAAACAAAATAGAAACATTTTAATCTTTATCTCTTGCATATAATAGTTACACATCCGCCAACGCTTTTAGAATCAAAATTCAACTTTTATGGCCTTAATAGAAACGTTTAAGTTATCACTTTTAAATCTGGTAAGTAGTGGATACCACCATTTTGGTTTTGATTAATCTTGTGTAGGCTGATATGAGAAAAACTGACCAAATCTTCTTTTTTACCAGATTTACCTTCGTCTCCCTTAGTTACACATCTTTTAATTTATTATTGACATTTTAAATTTCAATTTGAAGTTGCAAAAATACTAATTATTAAATTTAAATATCTTTATATTAAACTCTTCCTTATATTAAATCACAAATCCTTTCATCTTCAGTTATTTCACTCCAAATAAATCATTAGCAAAACTAAGTCAGCTGTTATAATAAACTTTAGAAATATTGCTGTGCCTTATCAAAGCAGTCTTTTGAAATATTAAAGAAACTATATCTAAAGGTACTATAAAAGATTTCAAACAAATAATTTAGCATTAAAGACAGCAGTCAAAACTAATATGATTATCAAAGCATCAAGGACTAAAAAATGTAATAGCAAATATATATGTTTCATTGCATCTCTGATTCTACTATACAAAAATATCAAAACAACTTAATATACAAACCAGTTCTTTTAATCAGTTCCATCATTCATTGCCTTTACATTTTCACACTTACCATTAAGAAAACATAGTAATAGATATTTCATTGATTTTAGAAACAAAAGAACACTGTGTGCTGCTTAGTTTTATGATATTTTCCTTGGTTTAATTTAATCAGTCGTGTGGCAAAACACAAATAATAAATGTATCAAATAAAGTAAATGTGAACTGAAAGCTATGTTAAGATAAAATAAGAATATTTCGTATTACCGGTACCATTTGATAATTAAATATAGTTACACATATACAACAGATTTTAGAAAAAAAAATCAACAAAAATCTAGTTATTGATGATATTCTTTAGTTTAATTTAAGCATAGGTTTAGCAAAACACAATAACTTAATTTACCTAAATAAACATATTATAAAAAACAATGTGATGTGCAAGTTATGTTAAGTTAATCTAACACATGTGAAGCAGTTAGAATTTATTTAAAGTAGCCTCCAAATTCATGACAACACATATACATCGTAATTTTCATACTGTTTCCATGAAAACATATCAATAACATTATTTTCACTTAAGATTATTAACTTAAGACGCTTTAAAAAATCCAAAGCAGAGCCGTAGTTGATACAGCAACGGTTATAAAATCTTTTTTTCTATAATCATTGACATAGTTTTAAAATAAATAATCCATGATAAAAGGTTAGATTAAAATAAACCTACCTCATATTTATGGAAAATATTATATTTAATTTCTTTGTATCAGCTGTCTGAAATTGTGAAATATGCAGTTTAGCAGTTCTTCTTGTTTAAATGTCAAAGCAAATGTAAACAAACATTGTTAGTGTTCTCATCACAGCCATGGAGACCAATCAATATTTACTATTAAAATGTTCACCTCAGAACTTTTAAAGCCAAAGGGGCAAAGCCTACGGTCAGTATCGAAATGTGAATAGTCCTATAATGGTCCTTGGTATGGTAGCTATATTTTTGTAAAATGTAAGCCCAGTTGGTTCAGTAGTTTTTGCACCTATTAGAAATACACATACAGACAGACACCATTAGATTTTTATATAATAGTATAGATTAGACACGTAAATGAAAACATCACAATTACTTCTATTGTTTAGATAGAGAAAAATTGGTTTTGATTTTGTGTTTGTGTTTTTTTGTTAAATTGTACACACAGTTTTGACCACATTGTACATATTTTAAATCTACATATTATCAATTACAATTTCATTTACATATTGCACGTGGATCTTGCATACGAGTACTGTTGTAAAACCTTGTATGTTGAGTGTGTCACCCGCCTTGATTAATTTGGTGTCAATTGAATGCTTCTTTTTTTACTGTGTGCATATAGCTATTTGGTTTTTTACAGAGGTTAAACCAAAAAGTATAACAGTCTAATTAGTATTTGGTGTGGTGAAAGTAAATTATATTATTATTAAGAAATGCATCTTGATTTTCAATTTTGTCAATTGAAAACTAGCGATTTTTTTTTCAAATCAAATATAAAATATTATACGATTGTTTAATATAGGCCTACTTTAATACTTTACTGTACTTCATACGGTTATTACTTTTTCATACAAATAACTTATTACCATATTATATTCTAGATTTAATATCCTCATAACGTTTTTCAAGAACATTTTCATCGCCACGGACTTTGTTCTTGCCAGTTCCCAAAATCATCAACATTCCCCATGTGACATCGTATTCAATTTACATTGCGTTTTCTTTTGCAATTATCTATAAATCTTTCTATTTTTCACTTCCAGGACATCTTCACCACCCTGGTTGACGCCCAATGGCGTTGGACCCTCCTCGTTTTCGCCTGCAGCTTCCTCCTATCATGGCTGGGGTTCGCCATAGTCTGGTGGACAATCGTGTTTCTCCACCGTGACGTCATAGGAGCCCCAGATGACCCGGGTGACCCGAGTGACCCCTACAACGTCAACACGACCACGCCGCTGGTGACGTCAGCCGTGCAGCACTGCGTCACGGGGGTACACAGCTTCACCAGCGCGTTCCTCTTCAGCGTGGAGACGCAGCATACGATAGGTGTGTGCATAGGCAAATGGAATAAAATATAGACTGACAACAGTGGTGTGGTTAGCGTTAGTTCTGGCGTCCACCGCTAGGAGTGCCGTGTTGTACGTAGCGCGTGCACCATAAGTAAATGCATTGACTATACACCTCTACAGAGAGGTGTATAGTAGAGGTGTATAGTCAATGGTAAATGGTACTCCTAGCGGTAGACGCCAGAACTAATTACCATTACCAACTGGCGATCGTTGACCAGATGTCTGGATTGATCTTGTCAAATAAAATTTACTTTTAGAATTAATAAACTAATATTTACAGTATTTACACTTCATGGCGGCCGGATTCATACTCAAAAGTCCATTGCAGTAGTAAAGTATTCCTCAATGGAATAAAAACACTTCCTACTCAGCCATTGTTTTAGTTTGACTTTAAAAGGTTCAAGAAGGAGTTCTTTAATGTGAAGGGGCAGTCTATTGTAGAGCTTGTGTGCTAACACTGGAAAGCAGTCCTTGGTCTTTGATAGCCTACACCTCGGGACATCCACATTCCTTGCAGAGCGCAGGTTGTAATTGTGGTGTTGGTCTCGTGTAATATGAGGGAGCCTAGGGTCAGTTTTCAACAGAAGGAGGCAGTCTAGAATGTATTGGCTATGTATCGTGAGAATGCCGAGCTGCTCAAAAAGTGGTCTGGCATGATCTCGTCTACCACTCGAAGATAAAATTCTAACAGCAGTCTTCTGCATAATCAGAGCTCTAGTAGTGTTCGGAGCATGGCCCCATAAGACCAAGCCATAGCTTAAATGGCAATGAAACAGACCAAAATAGGCTAGTTTAAGATAGTCAGACGTCACCTGGGATTTTAGTTTCCTTAAAAGACAATTAACTCGAGATAACTTTTTGCAAATTACATCAATATGCTGGTTCCAGGTAAGTTTCTCGTCAATGGTAACACCTAACAGTTTGACTGCACTCACACTAGGCCCATCCAACCTGGCTTCAGGGCAGGTCCACAAGCTGCAGAGCAGCTGCTGAGTTTTCCCCTCATTCAACTGCAGTCCGTTTAGCCTAAACCACTCCTTAGCCTCCCCTAGGCAGAAATTCGACCCCGTTGTTAAATTGGCCATGTTACTACCACGATTAATAATGGTAGTGTCATCTGCATATAATAGGGCATCATAGCTCTCTAGGTTGAAATCATTAATTAAGATGATAAAGAGGCTAGGTCCAAGTGTTGAGCCTTGCGGAACTCCGCTCGTAATCGCAGCCACCCCAGATTTTGCACCTTGAATTGATACCACCTGCTGGCGGCCACTGAAGTAGGACGTAAACATCCGTTGAACAGCCCCCCCAGACCCGTACAAGGAGAGTTTCCTTAGAAGCAATTCATGCGATACGCAGTCGAATGCTTTAGATAAGTCCAATAGTGTTAACAGTACGGATTCTTCGGTCTCAAAGGCATTGTGAATAGTCTCAATAGCAGCCCTCACGGCAGAGATGGTTGAACGTTTCCTACGAAAGTATGAAATAAAGTACGAAATAATGCTAACCGCAGCAATGCTGTCGGTCTATATGTAATTCTATTTGTCTATGGTGTGTGGTTTTTAGGAAGATGAACTGTTTGGACGTATTGTAACAAACAGCTTCAGTACAATTTATAGACACTACAGTGGAACTTCAATAAGAAACCCACAATAACAAAAGGCCCTTTATAATGCCGTTTTTTAATTGTATTGATTTTATACGGCCCTTAATTACATGTAATCGCAAGTAGAACAGTATTTTGCTACTGCAAATCACGATAAGGAGTCAACCTTGACAACAAGTGATATTTTTTATCATCTCCACGAGAAACTTCAAGGTTCTACTGTATCTTCACTGTTACATTACAGAATACTCTAGTTACAATCTTAGTTGTTGTATTGCCATTGAATAGATCATCCTTCGCCTTTATTTAAAAAAGTTATAAATATCAAACAAATATCCTTTCTTCTATTTAGCAATCTTCTTCTTCTAATTATTTCTGAAAACCCCTAAGCTCTTTTGCTGTAACAAAAGAATTCATCCCCTAAAACGTGTTTTTCTACATTTTCACTTCAAGATCCCCCTTATTTGTACACCTTTTCAGGATTCAGGGTGTTTCATAATAGTATATTTCGTACCAAGGGCCGAAAATGAGGTTTTGCCGGCTCGAGATAGTTTTCAAGTTCGAGACAAAGTCGAGAACTTAAATCGATCGAGAGCTGCAAAACCATTTCGGCCCGTGGTACGAACGCTATTTTTCACCACACTATACTCTATTACCACTATTCACCACTATAATAATGCTCACTGATAGTCAACACAACTACAAGAAATAATTTGAGGAATCAGCAAAAATAAAAATAAATAGGTGCTAGGCAACGGTGACAATAACACAATTCTATTGCAATGCTATGGATTTTGATTGTGTATTTAAAATGCATTCATGTTTTAAGTAAGTAAGCGGACAGCTGATTTTGCGGCCCCGGCCTGTAAAAACCTGCTCGGTCCCCAAATTACGATGACAGCTGGCATGGCCAGCAAAACGTAACTTTCAGCCACCAATTAACGTATGTAATACAGCCAAAAACATCATAGTGTGGTGAAAACATTCTTTTCCACCACCATGCTGCGTCTCTTTCAAATTCATCCTTCATAAAACTGTATTTTCTTGGAAATCGAAAAAAACTCCTTAAAACTGTTCAACCCTTCGATAAACCTTCTTTCAACTTTCTCTTACCAAAATCAACACTTTCATCTCAACCTTGTTAATTTACAGGGTACGGCTCCCGGGTCACACAAGAGGACTGCATCTCCGCCATCTTCGTCATGTGTCTGCAGAGCATCACGGGAGTGATGATCCAAGCGTTCATGGTGGGTGTGGTATTCGCCAAGCTGTCTCGCCCCAAGAAACGCACCCAGACCTTGCTGTTCAGCAGACACGCGGTCATCTGTCAAAGAGACGGAGAGCTCTGCCTCATGTTCCGGGTGGGAGATATGAGGAAGAGTCACATCATCGAGGCCCATGTCAGGGCACAGCTGATCAGGAGAAAGGTGAAGATTTGTTCTATTGAAATCGTCTCTACCATTTTCTTTAGTTCAAATATTAAAATGGTAAAGACTCTTTCAGAACTAATATGTCTTATTTGGGGTTTGTTTATCATTCATTACGTTTTCTGAAATCTAAGACGATTTGAGGGCAAGTATCTGAAACAAACAAAGTTTTGTATTACAACTTAATCCTGGATTGTTTTAGTATTGGCAAGCAGAGTAATAGGGAAATGCATTGATTCAAGATAACTAAAGCATACGGTTTTTGTGCATATAACAAAGCCACACAATTATATTCTAATTTTCACTCTTTTCTTTCCTTGTCTTGCCAAAACCAACCCTCTTGTGTATTTCTTTTTGGCTTAGACTTAATAATACGTGTATGAAAATTAAGCCAATTGAACTTCGAGAGTGTTCCCAACGCTAAAATTGAGAAATTAAAAGGATTTCGTAAAACCACATTGGCTTGTCATAATATTTACAAGAGTTAGTCTACCTATTCCAAATATCCATTGAGTATAGTATCACTTTTCTACCAGCTTCTATATAGCAGCAACACTGGCCACTTCCTTTACACAAGGCCTCGTAGGTCCGCGTGGCATTTGGCATCTCAGATGCCATTTGGCACCAACGTTAGCTCATGGATAGATGCCAGGTGTCGATCGATTTATCAATCGATAAAACACACAAGTTCTTCTATATTGTCCCATCACTAACTCTTGATCCGGGCTTTGGCCAAGATACAGAACGACTTCCCGGCTATCTTGTTGGAATTCGTGCTCTATATTCAGCCGAAAGAATTGTCGGCACTGGAATTTGTAAGTTAATTGATCTTGAGTGTAGGAAAAGGATTGACTGAGGAATCTAAAAACCAAGAAGCCATCATAGCTGTGATTAAATACAGTCAATGAAACTTTTGACTGGTAAAACTAGAAATTTGATTCCTTTAAACCAATAATTTATCTCCAAATCACAGTTGAGTGCTTCTTGAGCCAGCCAAAAGTTTTAATTAGGATTTTAGGTAACTTTAAAAGAATTTGCTTGTGTTTATTCCTCTTGAAATACTATGATATAATTTTGATTTCACAAAACTAAATTAATTTATATATAATTTCACTCTTGCTATGAAGACTGAGCAATCTCTAACAGGAGCCACAAAAAGGCCTAACTCTACTATTCTTCACTTGTTCTACAGGTCACCAAGGAAGGTGAAGTCCTGCCGTTCTGCCAAACGGAACTGAAGGTCGGTGGGGATGGAGAGGAAGATAAAATCTTCTTCATCTGGCCTACCACGATAGTCCACAAGATCACGTCGTCATCACCTCTGTACGAGCTGTCTGCAGCCGACATGCTCAGGGAGAGGTTCGAGATTGTTGTCATTCTGGAGGGTAAGTATTGTTGAGGATGAAACAGAAAAGAGGAGGGAGAAAAGAAAAAAGTTCCATATTTTTTAAAATCTCATTCGTAGGCTACAATTATTCAAGTTTAAAACAAGTTAATTTCTCATAACATACCCCACATAAAACTACTTCCTTTGTTCCCAAAGATCTGAGTCTGATGAGTCGATTTATAATTAATTACTATCGCAAGGCTATGATCGGATTCATGTGATCGTTGGATCGGATGCGGCCACTGAGCTATAAATTAAACTGGAGGTAGCTCTGAAAGGGCAACTCTGCTAGAAAATCGAGTAATTTTGTTAGGTTGGTAACAAACTCGTCGAATCAGCGCATTGGCTCATGAATTTATGTACAATCCTACAATTCCCTAATTCAGATATACTAGGTACAATCATTGAGCATACACGTACAGATCCTGCAATTAACTGGATCAATGTAGTTTATCCTCATCCCCCAGCACAAATGGCAGCCAACGTCTCGTAGTTCTCCTATTCAGTGGTTACCTCCAGTTGTATCCCTAGTTCAGTGGATAGAGATTTCCAATATAAAGAAAATCCTTCTATCCTAAAAGGAATATTCAACTTTATGTAAGTTAGTACATCTTAAGTTTAAGGTGTGCATCGTACCATTGGGTCGCACAATTATTGCAAAAATAATAACAATTTGTGACTTAGATTTGAACTGGACCTTTCTCGATTTTAAGACTATGGTCTCACCCCTGGTTTTCGCTTATATCATATATCTTTTTATTCGGTGGCATCATTAACTGATAGTCCAATTAGATCATCATTTATAGACTCAATGACAAATGGCTTGGAGCCAATACCGGTCAGGATGAACCCAGAGTCCTTCACTTTACATTACAATCATTAACATGATCAACCCCCATCTCTTTCACTCACCCCCGTCTTACACTTGCAGGGGTAATAGAGTCAACGGGGATGACGACGCAGGCGAGATCCTCCTACCTCCCCAGTGAGATCCTCTGGGGACATCGCTTCCAGACACTGGTGTCCTTCAAGAAGGAGACGGGTGAGCACGAGGTGGACTATAGTCTGTTCAACGACACTTACGAGGTGGACACGCCACTCTGTAGTGCGTCGGAACTGGACAACCTGGCCAGACAGAACAGACCAGGTAAGTTGAGGGATGCTGCGATTGGATACCAAACTCTACACGTTTTATTATACTCTGTATGATGAAACCTGCCCTGGGGACTTTGTAATGTTAAAAGGCCGGGGCCAGTTCTAGGTAGATGGGGGGTCAGGAGACCATAGTTTGATACTTCGTGATTGTGTTGTCCAGAAACAACCACCTTTTGTTTTTCAGACCCTACGATGTTTCATTGATCCAACAAAATTTAGGCAACACAATTTGTTCATTACTCAAACGATACATTTCCTTAACAAATACTGCAACAAATTAGTCACAAGAAATTGTTATTACTCAGGCACACTATTATTATACCAGTCAGACACAAACATTTTCTTTTCACTTAGACACACGCATTTTCAGCGCTCAGATACACCGTCATTTTATTACTATGACACACCATTACTAAAATGAATTTTAAATAGACCACTTTCACAGAATGTTTAAGCCTGATTAAGGTAAGTAAATCTCTTATTCTTTAAAGTACAGACCTGCAACCGATATATTTGAAATATAGTTAAGTATATTTTTTCAGCTAATACATTTTTCAAACAATATATTATCCAAGTCATACAAAAACAAATCTCATGACTCTGTGCTTACAAAATAGCAAATTTGCACACGGTCCTCCCGTGTCGTTTATTATTCATATATTTTCACACTGCTAATATTTTTATCACTACACATTGTGTCATTTTTACAACCCAGTCTCTGTGATCTTTCATCGCACCAACTCTGTGTTATTTTATTACTAAGACATTGCATTGTTCTGTATCTTTGCTTTTGATGTGCGTTGTTTATTGTCCCAACAGTGTGTAGCTTTGTCTATAGCGTTACTCAGACTATTCTTTTAGTATTTTACACATGTTATATGGTAATGAGGTGCCACATGAAATTTTCAGCGTCTTGTACCATCTTATTGGAGTCTAGTAAAGTATACGTATTATATTACAATTTTATTAGGTTTGTTTTACTTTGTACGTTATGTCATTGAAATCGTTTAAATACTGCTAAGAAATGAACACTTTTCTTATAAATTTTTATATTACATATTTTACTCCTAATCATGCGACATAAATATAATAGTTCGCAATTTATCTTCATTCTTGTATGCAAGTGCAATACAAATATAAATACAGAGTAATACTCGTAGTTGTGTTATACGAGTTTAGTTTGCATTCTATTCATTTGAATCACATTATTTTTTTAAATTGTTGCAGTTTAATGTCTTAAATTAGGTTGAATCAAGAGTTTTATTTCAAGCAAAAAATATGACATCTCATAGTACTTCCCGTTACTTTGGCTTAGTTATTATTCGTAAGCTATAGGTTTTATTATATTTAATATGCAGAATGTATGTAAAATGATGGATTCTTGATAACTTAGCTTTAATAACATATTTGACACAACTTACAGTTATATACCAGGATGAATGAAAGAAAATACCTTAATTTGTTTGAGTTTCTCTGTAAGACAGATTGTCATAACGACTAATATAAACTTAAACACCTCCAACACAACCTGATACTATAATACACAATTAATATCCTTATAGCTATAGTTTTGGTTTGGAACTGTTTTAATAGCAAATGCCATATTATATTATTAAAACTATTAAACACACCGTATTCACGTTTTACAGTATTACTTAATCACTACGCACCTCTTACTTAAAAAATACATGTAAACCTATCACATTTATTTTCCAATTATAAGCCATGGGACTGCAATGTAATCAAGTTATGTATTACTGGTCCTAAAATCACTTCCTAAGGTAAAAACACTTAACTGATAAAAAAAAAACGTGTACTGTACAGAAAGTCAAACCCAACCATATGAAATTGTATTCATAATACAGACAAACGAATAAACTTAGTGACATGAATAGTGTGAAACTAATCAATGTTAATATTATTCATTGGAACCTGCAGCCTTGCCCCCCCCATCCCCCCACTCCCCCCATCTACATAAAGAGTTAGTCTATTTGACACGTGATTAAATACTACGTAAACCAAGCACTAAATACAAATTGAATGTTTGAAGCAGAATTATAATGTACCAATGCGGATGAAACTTTTAGACTGCTTTTATTCTTTTAATGTTTTTTTTTTGCTTCGCAATAATTTTTAAATGTACATAAATTTACTTGAAACGTTTAAAGCAGCATTCAAAACGTGATCTTTAAACCAACGCAGATGGGATTGTCAAATTGTTTTGTATAAGGTGTACTGTTTAGGGTGTCCCGTAAAAGTACAACCATTTAGGAATATGGTTCATGGGTCAAAATGAAAACGAGACTAAAACTTCACCCAAAAATGCCTTGCTAGTGAATTTATTCTAGCCATTTAGGTTTGTGTATTTTAAATTTATATGTTACAAAAAATATTTATGATATCTTTATGAGATTTCGTAACCATTTTAAGTAAAAAAACTATTTCGGAAAAATAATCTTTAAAAACAGTTTTTTGTTTAAAAAATAAATGATTTTTTAGTAAATTTTTTGAAATTAAATTAAAATAAAACGGCTGAATTTATAAAAAAAAATGCCAAGGTCACTTTTATTTAGCATTCGAAATTCCCTATCAAAAGACACCAAGTTCAAAAACTTGCAAATAGGTGGGGAATCACGATTTTTAGTTGTCCAGGGCAGGCAAAAAAATAGTCAGGGTCCGTCTGATTTTGCACCTTAAAGCTGTGTACACTATACTATACGTACACTGTACAGTATTATAGTATAATTATAAAGTTAAGCTGAGCTTTGAGTCAATTTGTTTAACATTTTAAAGTCAAATAAAATAAACTTTTAAAAGTCATCAAGCATTGCGTTCTCAAACAATTTGTTATTTTACTCTTTTTAACAATAATAAGTAATTTTATTTAACCAATTTTATGATAGTTAAAAATTGGAATTTTAACTTGCTGCTATTGATCTTCTTTTAAATTGAAAATGTATTTGGAAAGTGTGTGTGCATGTGTATGTGTAAGTGCAATAAATATGTGCATAGAATACAATTGCTGTAGTCGTAGATTTACAAAGTAACGGTTAAAAATAAAAATAGTAAAAGCTTATAATCTACCTGGAATTAAAAAAAAAACTGCAATAATTATTTGTATCTAATATCGATGATAGTTCAAATCATGAATAGCCCACTAAAATTATTATAACACTCTGCTCGAGAAAATTAAATAACAGTATTCAAATTTTCATCATATTGGAGTTACAATTACAAATGTACAAATTATATCAGCCCTTTATGAAAACCTGCAGTTATGAAGGATCTGCAACGCCAAATCGTCACTGTAATCACATAAAATTTACCGCTCTTTTACCCAACTATTCAATAGCCAGTCTCTTTTAGTGGATTTCATAATCTCTGACCGATAGTTCAAAAAAACATATTGCCACTTTTCATTTGGCTATCAATTTATCATGATTTCTAACAGCAGGTTGAAGTTGGATAAAAGAATTTTGTCATAAATGGTTTGTAAAAAGAAAACTTTGAATTAAAGATAAGGATTAGCTATGTAAAAAATAGGAATGGTTCCGTTTCCCCTTGTTTTATTGATATTTACAAGCCGTCAGATAAAAAATAGGATCAGAGCCATTTTGTTTAAAAATTACTATCCAAAACCAAATTTACGTTTGATAAAAAATCCTTTCAAAATCAGTTTCAAAATCTCCTTTACATGAAATAGGCTTAGTAAAATATGCACTACTGAATTTAAACTTGTTTACAAACATCAACCATTGACTTATGCACTTCTCTCCAGATATCCAGAAACACCCTGCGCCCTCCCCTGACGTAACCAGTGTGACACTAGATCCCCAGGGACTTCAGGGACTCCAGGGACTGCAAGGGAAGCCAGACAGCTGTGTAGTCCAGCTTCAGCATGTCCCAGGGCCGGAGTCCCGCATTTGACATCACAGGTAAAAAAAGTATTTTATTTAATTTGCATACTTTCTCAGTATACAAATGATTCTTCGTCAATTCGTCAAATAAGCGTCTTCAATGTTTATCATACCCATGACTATTGTGTCTTATCATGGCGACTTTGCCTATGTTTTTGCCTAAAAATAGTTTATGCTCTCTTTTCCTTAGGAATTTGGCAATTTAATACATTTAACTCTTTAAAAATTGTATTTTGGATGCAAAAACTGAGAACTTGTGGTACCTGATAGGTGATTCTACGTATCTCAGACATATTTGTTTCACGCACAATTTTAAACAAAAATAAAGAATAAAAGACTTAAAATAAATCCTGTAATTTCAAATGTATAGTGTACGTTTTTGATCAATCATTCTACCCTAATTATAAAGCGAACTTCTAAGAATATGTTCTAAATTCACCCCTTCTATTTCCCATGCTTGCAATGTTCCAAGACGCCCATATTTCCACTACTTATCATAGCAGTAGCATTATTATTCTACCGACGGGTGAAGGTGGCAATGACAGCTTCCTAATCAACACAACAAGCAGTTAGTTGAGGAAGGACAGTTAAGTCGCCCCCTACTACTCCCACTAACTCCACGCGCTCTTGTTGCCTTTCTACTGCTGATGTAGTGAACAAACTTGAAGGATTCAAAGGGAAATACTATATAAAAGATCCTTATGTTTACAAGATTGGAAGATCTTACTAAAAGTTATGTAAAGAAGATAGACGAAATAATCTTGAATCACTAATTTTATTTACACATATAAAAGCCAGATATACAACATCACATAAAGAGTCTAGATTAATCACATTAGTTCTTACATGTTGTATGTAGTCTTTTATGTGCCTTTTACGTTGAAGCCACACGTAACAAAATTTATATTCATCCATACATTTGATTTGTCTACGGATTAACCTTATGCAAGCTGGCCATTTATACTATTATTTCATATACATACGAGTAAAACAAGAAGAACTTTTAAAACTAAACTAGGTGAAACCCGTCAAAATTGACGGTTACTGTTGAGGTTTAAAGTAAAGTCAATTAACTATCAATCCATGGTAAATAACCCAACTTTTTGTAACAATTTAGGTTTTTCGTAATTCAGCAGTGTGTCTTAGTAAGTCCGATATTAATAATCAATATCTCAAATTTATGCTGGTATTTTACTGAAGAAGCTGGTGGTTTTAAGATCAAAACATATAGGAGAATGTAACTAGAACTGGTGAAATTTACCTTTAATTAAAGTAAGAATAAAAAAACAAGTTTCTGTTTTTTTGTTCAAGTAATACAGTAGATAAATGAATTATGGCTTGATGAAAAATCTGTGTGTGCATACCTTTAATTTGACAACAAAATTATGAAAATCGGTCGGTTAGAAGAGCCAAACGAACTCGGAAAAGAAAAACCCATATTTTTTAATATATAGGTTAAATTAATCTACAATTAGTTTCCTAATTTCAATACGCAATATTGCCAAAAACGATTACTGAAAACACCGGCAGACAGGTGGCAAGTGTGGTGAAAGAATGCTAAATATTCTCCCTCTCCTGGCAGTCCATGTTTCTTTCTTCTAGTTTGTTGTAAACGTTGTAATCTATTACGTGTAACTTGTAATAACCCAATACTGTAAGTGACCTTGTTCCCAGGGATATCACCTACACTGGGAAGTCTGCGGTGAACAATATTTGTTGTTTAGGAACTAGTTTTAAAAAGGTCAATGAACTTGTGTACTCTTCTCGATCAAACAGTTAGGGACTATTGAAAAATTATACTGAAAAATGACTACTGACTTATACTTGAAATTGAGCTGCGCTGTTAACTACTCATTGTTTTAATTTAAGTATAGGCAAGCGTGGAATGGATATTCTTAGCTGAATATAATTGCTGGAAGAGTGTTATTACCTTTGTAGATTTGTAACTGACGGTATTTAAGATCAGCAAACTATAAACTAGCTGCCATTCAGATTCAGCATAGTATCAAAGTATGGTTTCTCTACCGCTACAAAACATCTACATCGTGTCACCTCATCTAGGTGAAACCTCAGGCACCTCATTCGCTGGCAAAGTAGGCACTAAATGCACTTACTTTAGATTTACAATCAAAATTATTGAATTATTCTAAATTAGTTGTTTTATTTGCAGAACTTGTTTTATTTATCTGAAACTAACATAATCTTGGAAAGATAAGATTGTATTTTCGGTTTAACATGCAAAGACCTTATTGTAACACACGAATTTGGGCACGTTGCCCTCGTAGTTATATAGTCACTCTTGGTTAGAAAAAAAAACAAAAAAAATCTGTACCCTCATACATATTTTTCAGTGTCATGAATCCACTGTTTGTGGATTAGATATTTTAGTTCAAGAAAATTCAATGGTTTTGTATTTGTTTTAAATTAAGAGATTTACTCGTTTACGCGCTTTTGTAATATAATTTTGACAGTTTTTGTAAAAATATGTTTTAGTCGTTATCTTCCCAATTTGTGTTGCATTTGCTTAACAAACACAGTGGTTATGGCCATATTCACCCAGCTGGTGATCCGGGTATACTGGGTAGTGGGTTTACTAGATGCCAGTGATGCCGGGACCGCGTCTCGTTGTCCCTCCGTCTCGTTGTCCCTCCGTCTACTTGTACCTCGAGGCCTAGGGACAACTAGTCGTAGGTACAACTAGACGTAGGTACAAGTAGACGGTGGCTCACCCGACTAGTTGTACCTGCAGATTTTTAGGAGGTACAACTAGACGTAGGTACAAGTAGACGTAGGTACAACTAGACGTGTATCCCACCGACAAGTAGTATCACCTAGCTTGTACGGATGCGACCAGTTGTCCCTACGACTAGTAGTCTCTACGACTAGTAGTCTCTACGACTAGTGGTCCCTCCGTCTAGTAGTCCCTACGTCTAGTTGTACCTACGCGTATTTTGCGTCCTTATAGTCTAGTTGTATCCATCCTTCAATTCGTTACCCTGTTTAATTGATTACTGCACGAGTACTTTTTAATAATACCCTTAATTAAATCAGGAACTGCAGTCGATTGAGTATGATTGGCAAATATTTTTCACCGCAATACGATGTTTTAGTAGTTTTACTTTACAGACGTTAATTGGAGGCTGAAAGCTACGCATTGCTGTCCAGGGTCGAAATGGCAGCTATAGTTGTGATTAAAATTTTCCAGCCCTAGTACCGAAAATCGCTTATTTAATTAAAACATTTATATATATATCATTAAATATACAAGCAGTATATCCCTAATGAATTGCAATAGACCGCTGCCCAGCAATTATGTATTACTATTTTTGCTGATTCCTTTAAATATTTTTTCACATAACCTTAAAGTATTTGCATTGTTTAGTGTGCATATCTTATAGTTTACAATGGATTTCCCAGTGATCAATGAACAATGAAGTGTACAATGAAGTTGAGGTCCAGCGGTTGAAAACTCGACAAAAACTATGCAATGTACTACACATACTTCTCCTTTTAGCGAATTTCCCTATAGGGAAGTAGCTATTACCGTAGGTCTCATGGTAAGACCTAAGCCCGGGACCGATTTACTTTTTCATTTTGATGTCCCCAGAGGCCAAAAACACCATTCGTTCAAATTTTTATATATCTATATATAGAGATATATATATATATGTGTGTGTGTGTGTGTGTGTCCATCCGCACGATAACTTGAGTAATTTTTGTCCGATTTTGATGAAATTTGGTTTGAAGGTGTAAGGCGGGATAAACTTGAATGAGTTCGCGAACCAGCATTATCGGACTATGGGAACGGGGGTTTATGGGGGGTTTTATGGGGTAAAAATAGGTTTTTCCCATTTTTGACTCTAAAAACACCAAATTTCTAAATTTCTTTTCAAACCATTTTGTAGAGCTTAAAAAAACAAATAATTTAGTATATTGAAGCGTTATTATGCGCCTAATTGTTACGGAGAAAATTCAAAAAAATTGTAATTTTAAAATTCCCATGTTATTCTTATGGAGCAGAAGTCAACTGTTGTAGTTTGCTTGTTTATGAAAATATTTTAATCAAATTTGGAAAATACATTAACTTCTTACTAAACCACAGTACCTTTTAACATTTTACATAAAAAAAAACTTGTTTACCCTCCCTGTTGCAGCAAACCTAAGTACTCATTAAACTAATTCTGTTTAAATAGGGAATAAATGTGATATTTTTAAGGAGACATTTTAGTTTAAATCCAATCAGGCAAATGGAAATTCGCTAAGTCTGCAGGTTTGCTGCGGCGGGGGTATTAACATACACTGTAAATAATAAATGTGATTGGAATATGTTCCATTTGTTTTGATTTTATTTTCATAATTAGTTGTTATTTCGTCACCAGCATAGCAACCCGTTAAACCCATGTTAGTTTTAAACATTTGTAATTCTTTTTTTTATGTCTTTTTAGCCTATTTTAATTTATAAAGGCATTCTGTAGATCGACAGGAAAATACATTTCCACCGATATGCGAATATTTTCTCTGTGATGTTCACGAGCTGATAAAAAGGTTGTAAAGAAACATGCTTGCCTACATTATTGATATATTTTCTCAGTTTTGTATAGTTTGGTGAAAAACAGCAATCGTACCACGGACCGATTTCATCTTCGTCTCGAACTTAAACATGATCCCGAGCTGAAAAAAGTCATTTTCGGCCCTAGGTACGAAATATACTCTTAAACTATCGTAGGATCGGTGAATACTAAACTCTATCTTGGAATTGCATACACTCGCTCCTATCTTTAAGTTTACGTTGTTGCCATACAATAAATGTATAAATAAACACAAAAATTCACAAGTTTTGTTGTAAGTACCTATATCATGTATAAATAAAAACATACAATAGCATAATGTGTAAGTGTATTCTGTAAAACTTTAAACAAATATTAGTAAAATAGTTTTCAGGTAAACTAATGTTGAATGAATTAGTTTTAAGTTGTTAAATTAACCTCGACCCGTGCTATATGTTTAATGGAGTTTGT